GCGGTATTTAGATGGCTTGGAGAACTTCGAAACAGGTGTCTTACGGTCGGTAAACTCGGGATGATCCACCCAGGAACGTATGGTAGAGCCGAAGAGAAGTGTGATTGAAGGTCGAGAACAAAGAAGGTCAAGTGAATGCTCGATCTGAACTCGCAGACCCAGTTACCGCAGGCGACCCGCTCGGGATGTGGTTATCGTGGTGGTAGCAATCATGTTATTTGAGCCCCTGTGTCCACGTCAAAGACTTGACACGTCGGTCGATGCAGTGGTGTTTCAATGGCTGTTTACAGTATACACAATGGTCTTGAAATCGTGCCAGTGTGCCTTGGCGCCATGGGGATTACAGAACCAAATTGGATGCGCCAGGCCGAAGGCGATCAAGTGCCATGAGGAGAAATATTCGAGAGCACAGGACCTTTTCGTTTCACCAAGCCTCATCCTTTCGAAGAGCCAAACAGTCCATGGAATTTGGAGCTGTGGATAGAGCAGCACTCACGGGGCTCTCTCACCACAATAGTTAGACTGGGAGATATCCCTCAAGTTGGCGTGCCTCCTATCCATCCTCTGTCGATCTACTGGAAGGCAAAGTCCTACCCGATATCGATGCTTCTACACACCGATTGAAACGTTAAGCTACCCACTTAAAACCCTTCAATCGGGAGAAAAGCAGTTAGGGTACCGAACAGTTCAGCTCGATCTATCTGTGCTAACTAGGCACGCTACGATCTTGAGAGTATAAAACCCTTTTCTGTGGGCGAGGGTTCAGCAGCCTCCTCTCAAAGCTAATTACTACCACCAAGCTGCAACCAGGTAAGAGGGTCTTACCAACACGGTGGGATTGACGGCTGATCTCTCCTCTATGGTCAACTGAAGATGTTGTACCACCTTTCACCTAACACCAAGGTCCAATTGCAAAGTGCCTTCAAGGCCGAATCCATCGCCATCATTCGCTCCTCCAAGCTCGCTTTTGATGCCAGCCAGGGTGCGACTCGGTTCACTTCTATGACCAAGATGGCGATACTGCCCTACACATCAGCATTCGCCCAAAGGAACAGGTCGTCGTCTTCAACACCCGCGTTAAGGACGGTGCTTTCGGCCCCGAAGAGCGTATCAGCTTCAACGACAGGTTCAAAAACCCCAACCCTACTATCACTGTCTATGACCATGGAGATCGCTTCCAAGTCCTCTTTGACTACGCCACAGTCAAATACTTTAACAAAAGAAGCGAGAAAGATGTAGCGGCCATTCTGTACGGTGTTGAAGAGGAACAGGGGCTCGCCTTCTCTGAGGTCTTGACTGTCGATGTCTTTGCGTCTTAGCTCGTTTGAGGAAGCAGGTCACGTTTTGTTTCATCGAACGGTATATATTCCCAGCTGCGTATCAAAGGATATTCCGGAAACCAATTTGTTTACAAACGATGCATTTATGTAGCCCAACCATGTAATTATGAACCTTGAGCCAGTTTCAGCCGAAGACAGGGGAGAGCCCAGGAGGCTGGCGTTCATGAGGAGAGCTCCTGATGCCTTGGATGTGTGACCAAGGTAGCATCACCGTGACAAAGGCCAAAGTCCTGAACATGATCGGATGAGAGTACAGTTACGTTTGATCAACTCTGCCACTGCCACTTCCACTTAGTGAACAGTAGTCTAAGACACCAAGGGGAAGGCCTCTCCAGTTGGCAATGCAGCCATGGCGATTGGGTGGGTTGGATGGTGGAGACGTCACTGACGCTTTGAGCTTAGCCGCTCACGTTCGGCAAGTTCCGTCCGAAACTGGCGCGTCACGTCACGATGTCTGGAACAGCGCGCCTCGCACTTCAAGTTCTTGTCACTACAATGTCGAATGAAGGGGACAGCAATGAACTCAAGGTAAGTAATATCAATGGTTTCGGGCGTGCTTCTGATAATAATATCTACAGGACGACTTACTGGAAGCCTTTGAGCACGATTTCAGCTTCAAAGGCAACTGCTACTTTGCATCGACGCCGTCAGACGCGCCAAATCCATGTCTCTCAATCGAGGGGATTGGTACTGTCGGAATTCCATTGAGCTCAAGAGATGCGAAAGCCATCGTCGCATGCGCTCAGCAAGTCCCATGTAACAACAGTGCCGTGGGCGACGCTTGGGTAGTAGGACGATCGAAAATTACCTTTGAAAATCGTAAATGGCAGAAATGGCTGGAAGACTTTGCCTTCAGCTCCGTCTGGAAGGCCCTTGGCTTGGACCCCTTTCAGACACGCCCTAAATGTCAGCTCTCCAACCTGCTACTATGCGAGCAAGGTTCGCAGTGAGTGGCATCCATCACTTTTTGTGGACGTTAGCTAAGTAAGATTTAGGACAATACTTTGCCAGGAGTATGTTAAGCGCGACTTTTCTTTTGACGGCCATTTGATGACGACGTTTGTAGCGCAGAGAGCGTTGCAGGGATGTTCGCAACGGTCATTGTCGTCCTTCCAACGCGACACGAAGGGGGCCAAATCTGTCTATCCCACTCAGGAGTATCGGAAACAATCGGCCCTGATAAAGAGGGAGTGTTATCAACATCCATAATGGCATGGTATGCGGATGTTACGCACGAGGTGAAACCCATCACTTCGGGCTATCGACTCGCTCTCTCTTACAACCTGATACACACTACGCCAAACGTCCCCCTACCGATGCTGCCCGACATGAGCAAGGGACCCCCGCGCCTACGCAATGTTCTGACTAAATGGCAACAAGGCAACTACTCATCAGACTGCTTCTCTGCAGAATCACCTTTTTTCGCTCATGTATTCAGCGATGAATATCCTGAAAATGACCTTCTGGGCGGCATAAGCAAGATGAAGCGCCCTGATGCCTACATGGTTGCCCATCTCCTTCCCCTTGCAGAGGAGCTTGGCTTCAATGTACGGTTGGCAAGCTTGCGCTACACTGTCGCAGGCGAGGCACGCGATCTCGATGGGAACTGCAACCGAAAGCGCCGCCGGTACAGATCGTTTAGCTCAGACGACGAATTCAGCGAGCCTGAGGCCGACGAGCTTGAAGTGGGGGAGGTTGATGAAACCATCTGCTCTTTGACCATGGTAGTCGATGTCGAAGGTCACCCAATTATCAAGGGGTTCAACGCGTGCGATGTCGAGGTCGACGTACTCATACCAGAGAATATCACTGATTGCTTTCAGTCTGAAGAGCGAGAATATTCTGGGTCCAATGGCGAGGTAAGCCTTCAGCTTATGCTTGTGCGGAGTATTGTGTGACGATGTTCCACGCTGCAGGAGAAGATTGGCTTCATGTCCGAACGTGAGTCGAGAGCTTAGTTACAACTATTCAAGTGGCTGCTTTGGTTGACGAAGGAACTCACAGACTATCGACTGACGGCCTTGCTCATATTCCGAAAAAGAGATGCAGAAGATGTCACCCTGATGCTCACCGGTGGCATTTCCGGTGCCGTTACTAGGCTCACTTCTATCATAGGGCCTATCGCCGAGCAGAGTCACAGAGCTGCAGCAGAGGAGCTCCTTCGAGCGCTGAGTACTACGGGTAAAGACCCCAGCCTGTTCTACATGTCCAGCAGTGTATCGGAGAAGGCACTGTCTGCACTACTCGATATTGCTCTGGCCTGGAAAGACGCTGGGCTGTGGCAGAGAGCAATGCTAACACCTTGTTGCACCTTGTCAACAGTGGGGAAAAGGAGGCTGGCACAGATACTTGTTTCCTTCCCTTTCGAGTCGATTAAGGATGGGTACGTCGTCCTCTAGAATGCCTTCGCTTCCTGCACTCTGACAGAAATTTCCCTTCCATTAGCCTGGCATCCTTGATCCAGAACAGCGAGCTTTTCAAAGATAGAGCTGAAGCGATCAAAGCCATCTTGACCCAACAGGAGCCGAACCAAGCTGTTGTACCATGGGTTGCAGAGCAATGGAGGGAAAGTGTTCGGACGTACCGCCAAGGAGCAGAGGGCGACACCCCTTCCATACTCGAAGGCCTCAAAGTTTCTGGCCTGACGGGTCTTACGGAAGGGTGAGTAAACTACTTGCGATTATGCTGTTCCAGTTGGCTGACGGCCTCGAAGTTTGTTACCTAATGTACAGAACATGGGCAATAAGTTTCCCTTCTGGGTATGCCTCGCTGAGGCTTTATACAGGGAGAGGGATGCGGTTCCTGCCTCGCACCCCTCAGTCGACGAGTGCATTGAGAAGTGCCTAGCAAATGCGGCATTGCAATGGGACTACATGCCACCTCCACCTCCAACCCATGAATGGAGCTACTCAATACGCAGGACAAATACCTACTCCGAGGAAGCAGACCCAAAGGTCAAGGCCACTCGAGTTGCCCGGGTCATCGGTATCTGTCTTAAGGCGAACGCGATGGAAGCATGCAACGCGATCCTCGCAGAGGTCATGAAAGATACACCACCAGGGGATCTACCGGAGAAGTTCAGGGACCTATTCGTACCCCTCATAATGGAGCTACAACCTCTGTTGGCGAGGCACGGCTCTAAGCTCTCTTCTCCCCCTTTCAGCGAGGTTATCAAACAGATGGTTCAGCTTCATGTCGACACCTTCAGCCCAAGGAACCAGCCGACGTTCAATGGCCCTCCTTTAATCCCTAGGTTCCAGTGCAACGCCATCTCATGCCATGAGTGCAGCACGCTGTATAGGTTTATGACTTCCAACACCACGAAGGAATGCGTATTTCGCACGGCGAAGGATCGAAGGCACGTCGAGGGGCAGCTTCAAGACCTCCGGAATACGCTGTGTACCTACGACACGACGGGCTCCAGGTCCAATCAGACGATGGTTGTCAAGAAACTACCCACAGCCATTGCGCTCGCTCGCAGATATGAAGCGGTCGGAAACCGCAAAGCATTCCTCGATGTCATAGGGAGAGAGGAGTTGATGCTGATGCTTGGAGAGGCGTATTACCGTAGTGTTACAATGTAATGGACATCAGTTGCGATTCTTAGTTTCTAGTAAGCTGGTATGTGTCCTTGCTGAATGCAACGAGGTGTACAAAAAGAACCGACGGTGGGACTCGAACCCACAGCCTCTGCCTCAATACACACGGGCTCATACATGCATAGGAAAGCAACGCACTACCATTGTGCTACGACGGCGTTGGCAAGGATTCAAATGGAGTGGCTATAGCTCGAGAACAAAGTCTGCCTGAGATATTCCATCGAAACGCTCCTACGAGGCGAATACAAGGTCAAGGAGCTGGTTTTCATGTAGATGATGCATCAATTGGTGTTCAAGCTAATCCTGGCTGTATCTACTCGATCCAACCCCATCTGTAGTGAAACGAGAGGCATGAGATCGTGCAGATGGTCTGTAAAGCTTTGTTCAGCTTGGAAAGAAAGGCCCCTGGTGGCGACTGTACGCTTACTATTTGAGCCACTTGACTCTGCTGACCACTTTTCCAGCCGTTGGCGAATAGGAGTGAGCAAGTTGTTGTCCACATTACGGAGTACATCTTGATCTCTGATTCCAGTCTAGAGTGCTTGTCAGATGGATGTTATTGTTCGATGAGACAAAGGAACTCACTAGATTGGATTTATCCCTGAGAAGAAGGATGTAATACAGCGAGAGGCATTCGACGAGCCGTTTGGATTCATGAGACTCCTCAAAGTCCTTGATCGAGGGAGACGATTGGAAGACATCAGGAGGGTTGGGACGAAGGAGGATCGGACCAAACGTCCTTAGAAAGGCGGCGGATGCAAAGATATTGTCACTTGAAGATGCCAATGCCTCAAGGACAGCGTCTTTGACAAGCCCGACAGCTGCGACCCGCATCTGTGGGAACTCGTCGTCTGTCGTCAGGTCCTGCAGAACTTGCATGCGGAGTGGAGGAGGTGAGCGGGACAGGAGAAGGCCTAGGATTCGGAATGCTTGGTGACGGGCTTGGGGATCAGGATGACCGCTGGCAAGCATCGGGAAGACGGACAGAAGGGGCGCGATCACATCCAAAGGAAGCTCCTCCTTTTGTGAGTGGAGCACCTTTAGAAGGAGTGAAAGAGTTTGGTCGATGATGTTGTTGGTCTGAATACATGCGGTTAAGACTGGCATAAGGGAAGACAGGAGCGCCGGTTCTGAGAGATCTGATGGTTCGAGATGGGCAAGTAAGGCGAGAGATGTGGGAGAAGGCTCCTTCAGCAGATCTTGTTGCCGCAGTCCAAGCAGTTTAGAAGCGCTCTGCAGATATATGAGATGGGAACAGGGTACACGGGTGGTTGATGCATACCCATGCAGCAGATATTGCTTCTTCAGCATCCTGAAAGTCGTCCTGTTTTTGTGACCGAATGGTCAGACGAGGATAGAGAGACTCAAATGTCCTCTGGGCTAGGCCAGCGTCCAGGCGGGGGGCGGTCACCAATAGGGTGATAAGCAACAGATTGCGTAGGACATCCTGCAGCAAGTTAGGCGACGTTCGCATATATTCGAGGGAGAGATGCCTACCTTGGCTTCACCCTTCGATGAGTCCTTGCCTTCGACCCACTTGTAGACGCTTTCAATAAAAAGGGATACGGACGATAGAAGCGCTCTGGACTGTGCCTTTGAGAGATGCTGCCCACTATGCTCAATAGCCCCTTGGACCTCAGTAACATGAGGTAGGGCGGTCTCAAAGGCTGTCTTCTTCCTCAAGCTGATCTTTGGCATGGCTGTAGGCTAATTAGACTAGCAACACAAGACAAATCAAAACGTACCTGTGGCGTAGAGGTTGACAATTTCAATCAAGGTGTCGATGGCAGATGGAATGTCGTCGTCGTCGTCTCCTTCCAATTGAGCTTGCAACCTTTCCAACACCTCTTGTGCTGCAATAACAGCCTCCTTCGCAGAAGAGCACTCGGTAATCAGACTGACAATGTCTCGTGCAGCTGGATCTCTTCTCTGCAGTAGCACTGGCAGTACGTCGAGAGCATCCTTCTCATCACTTTAGTCACATTTTCCCTTTGCAGAGTACATGTTGCTCACCAAATATTTGACCCCATTATTCTGCGCCAACTGGCGATAAACTTCAGCGAGTGAGATCTCCGGGGCTTCGTCGTGGATGGCAGATGTGATAATGGCCGTCAATGACGAGGCTAACCTCTACCTCTTAGGTTCAATACGATCGCAGTCTCTGGCGGTTGGACGCACCTCTCTGTCCTCATCGGTGGGCTCTCCAGAAGGGAATGAAGGGAACGACATGGTGGTCTGGAACAAAGAACGCGTCGCGAGCACCGCGATGAGCGCTAATGATGTCGAAGCGGAGATCACGGTCCGCAGCCATGGCCCACAATGAGCTCATGCCCCTGACACGCCTCGACGTCGACCACGATGAGCAGCGCTACCTCTTCGCCGTCTCGCTCAGCGATGGTGCTTGTGCCTTCGTCCGAGAGCGAATGGCAACCAATTCTACATTCCTCTAACCAAGTTGTCTTGTACAACCCCCAATCGCATGCCCTGACGATTGGCCAGCGTTCTAGTCTGCCGCCAGAGTCCTCGGTCATAGCAACGAGGAGGACGCAACCGACGTGTCCTTACTGCAAGCAGCACCTTCCGACGTTGACCACCGGTCCTGAAAGTCCTCTGGAAGACGTCGAAGACGATATATTCGAAGACTTTGAGGACTTTCACGACGACGACCCTGCATATGACTCGCGAGCAGCGAATTACTTCCAGTTGTTGGCCATCTCGAACGAGACGAATTCTCGACCATCGAGCCCCCCAGGTGTGCTAGGTGGTGAAGGCTCAGGGTCTCCTTCCTCCTCCACGTTCCTCGCAGAGCAAACGGCGGAAGGGTACTTCCAACGGTTCTTCCAAGAGGAATACAAGCTGGGAATGGGTGCAAATGGTTCGGTATATCTGTGCCAGGTACGCTCAAAGTAAACTGCACTCAAGTGTTCTGACCCCTGACTAGTGCCCAGCATATGCTAGATGGCAACCCCTTGGGACACTTTGCAGTGAAGAAGATTGCAGTCGGCGAGTCGCACTCGTACCTTCTCAAGATCCTTCGTGAGGTTTGTCCAATACCTCGGGTGAATTCTGTATTTAATCTTTTTCCTTAGGTTCGATTGCTTGAGCAATTGCATCACCCTAACATCGTGATCTACCAGTACGTGACAGATCCCCTGTTCTATTGACCGTTCGTTGACCAGGGTTGCAGTCATGCCTGGCTTGAAACAAGCCAGTTCTCCTCATTCGGACCTCGAATACCGACTCTGCACGTCCTGATGCAATGGGCAGAAGGGGGTAGCCTTGACGACTACATTGACATTCGTCAGGGAAAGAAGCCTTCCCATCCCCATATCCATCCACTTCCCCATCACAATGCTACCAGCAGGTTTGAACCTGGGGAGTCTGTCACGGACCTTGGTATGGAAAACTCCCCCGCAGTTGCCCCTTCAATATCAGGGGAGCCTGAAGCAACCCACGGCCGCTCAGCACGCATCAAGGCGTTCAGAGCGTTTCAGCGGGCAAACCCAGAAGAGCGTGAACGAATGCTCCGTGACGGATATGGTGGGCCTGATCGCCCTCCTCCTGGCAAGCGGAATACAGAGTGGAAGTCTATCCATCTGCTTAGCGCAGAGGAGATTAAGAGTCTCTTCCAAGATATCGTTGAAGGGTTGGGCTTCTTGGTAAGTGGGGCACCCACTTGTATCAGTTCATCAACTGACAGTGGCCTAGCATTCGAAGTCCATCCTGCACTTGGATTTGAAGCCGGGGAATGTTCTACTCACCTGGGATGACGGACGAATGATGTACGCTCGCCGCTTTCTGTCAAGAACTCTGCGATTGACATCGAATGTAGCCCAAGAGCCATGCTCTCTGACTTTGGTACCTCCCGAGACATGATCAACAGTGGTCGTATACCCCGCTCAGGCAACACTGGAACGTAAGAACTACCGATTTTTCTGGATCAATCACAATCTAATCGTGTTCACCAGTCTCGAATATGCCTCACCAGAATCGTTACCCTCCCCTGAGACTGGACTGCTGCAACAAATCGATTCCAAATCTGATATGTGGAGTCTCGGGATGATCCTCCACAAGATGCTCTTCTTCAGACTCCCTTATCGTTATGCTTCGGAAAGTGATGCTAACGGTGAACCTACAAGTCTTGGCCAAGGCCACGAGTCAGAGAAGATGCAGAGACTGGAGGACGAGGTCCTCTCTTATCCTGGGTAAGCATTCGTCAGCTTTGGTTAACCAGCACATGCATTCTGATGCCTTTCTTAGTTTCAAAGCTGCCGCGAACGTGATCACGAGCTTTGAGGCTCGTCGGTTACCTCGATCGTACCTTGTCCTGCTGGAAAGTCTTCTCAGCCGATCACCTCTCGGGCGAACGCCATGTGATCGCGTTGTACAAGCTGTTCGTGAAGGAAAGGTATGTTGTTCGTGCCTATTTCCTTGTAGCGTACGCTTACTATTGCTCTCAGCTTGACCCTCTACGCGAAGTCCCCAGACGACGTTCGCCTTCTAAAACTCCAGACGCCCTCATTCCTATCCCTCGTGCGCCATCAAGACCAACAGACGTAGGAATCGAAACGGACGGTCAGCGGACGCCTACATCTAACAGCGAGAGAGGCAGACTACTAAGTCTTTCACCATCCCCCACTTTCGAGCTCGAGGGCGACAAGGTCGCAGGCACTGCCAACCCTAACGAAACCATGCACTTGGGAATGTCAGCACGCAATCGGGGTGGAGTCTGGCCGAGACTGAGTGAGGTTATGAGCAGTCGGAGGGGGAAGTTGGCAGCAAGGGTGATCAGGAGTTTCATCCTCGTTCTCAAGGTATGCAAAACGTCAGTTTTTCTGGGCTGTTGGCTGATTTTATGATAGGTTTCGACAATTCCGCGTTTCTGCCCAGATGCAAATTCACAACCTCGTCCGCTGCTGCTGGTCGCCTTGCTGGTAGCTGCGGTCGCAGATACGGCTCTTGATGTTGAACCTTGGGATCGTGGACTTTTACTTTCGGTGGCCTTGGCTACTCTTCATGTCAACCTGTTGCGGTTTGCAGGAGGGACGAGCTTGGCTTGTGCCGCCGCATGACAAGCGTTCCTAGTTGCTTTGCACCGTTCTGGATGCTGCTTTCGTACTCTCGGCTTCAGGCGATATTGTTGGAACTGGAATTGACC